CCATTGGTCTATATCCCACATGAAAAACTATGTGGATTATTGTTTTAAAAGAACAATCCTCCTTCTTGGGCTTAGGCAGCCAATTTCTGAATGTTATGTTCAGATTCAAACATGAGAGAGGTTAATGTAAGCAGCATATCCATTTGTTTCCCTGCTGTTATGTTAGGATTTTTCCCTTGCAGATATTCAGGTATATTTTGATTCCTAAAAATGTAACAGTGTTATGCTGGATTCTAAAGCTGATGACTTGATAGCCCCTTCAAGCCTATGGGAAGATCTTTCTTAATAGCAAATCCTTTAGTGTTCAAACTAAATTCACAGGCCTTTAGGTGCCTAAAGATGCAGACAGATGCTTTTGACAACCTACTAGGTACCTATTAATCTTCAGGCACTTAAATACTTAAAAAATAAAAATAAAAATCTAGGACTAGAATCTAGTCAGTTTAAGATGAACTCACTTGATTCTGTCATCTTAAATGCAGTACAATGGTTCCTAATCTTTTCTGGCCAGGATTCCACACTTCTGGGGTCAAAACTTCAGTCAGCTCATGACTGTTCAGCACCCTGTGCCCAGACTGAGCCCATCTACACTAACAATGTAAGTCAGTCTCAACCTCCCTTATAAGTGCGGTGACTTCAACCGAGGTCACAGCCACTAGTCTGGGAACTGCTGCTGTAGCAGCAAGAATTTTTTGCTTTAAAAACACTCCAAATAATTTTCACAGTGACTGTGAAATACACAAGCATTTATAACCTTTCTGTTAATGAAATAGGGCTAACTGGCCCTTAAAAGCCACTGAGAAGCTCTACAGTATGAATATGTAGCCCAAACCACTAACCCGCATTTCTCAATACTAAATTTGTTCACCTTCTCCCAGGACGTATTCCTTAATGATTATATAAACTTGTCAATATTAGCAATTTTATAGACTGATGTGTGAGAATGTTTTGCCTGCATTGAAACTATGTTACTGAATCATCTGGAAAAGTGTGTGTGGGGGGGGGGGGGGAGG